ATACCCCCCAAAAAAAAATCCCGAATCTTTGAGAATTCAGGTACAGGATCCCTCTCTGAGGACCCGCCTGGTGTAGGCTCAGCAGCTAGATATGTTTACATGGCACTAAGAAACATGATAGACTCGTTTCCGTCTGACTAAGCCGTGTTATGCATTTTACGTTTATATAATTCTCAAAAAATGAAAGACATTATGTTTGTGATTGAGACGAGATTAATGCTGCTTTGGTCTTTTTCCTATTTTAACATATTTTTTTCCGGCATTAAACAGCATTGTATTTTGGAGAGGTTTTCATCTGCATTTATATACTAGTATGCTTAATTATCACTTATATGCATAAATCACACATGCATTCATAATATTTGAATACATACTTATATAAATAGTTCATATGTATACACTTCCTTCACTACCAACGTGTTGAATGAAATATGCTAGGCGTTATTTGCTTCACTAATCACCTTTTGTATAACAACCACAACGTTACCTGTAAACAGCATGATTTATGGTGCCAACATTTATATATATATAAAAGCAAGCATAACTGCACTTTCCCGAATATCAACAGGTGGTTAACCACCGCCCAGTTAGTTGAACCATCATTCTAAGTGTAAACTGACATTTCAGAACATGTTGGATCAAACAATCATTCTAAGCCAGTCGTGATTGGGAAATAAGTAAGAGGGGGGGGATGAATTTTGAGGCTCTGTGGGTAGTTCAGGCGTGTGTACAACGAAGGGGTAATTGTCTAGTTTGGTTATGGTGATTGGTAGAGAGTTGTTGGTTTGAAGCTCTGGTTGTTATTATGGTTGTGTGTGTGTGTGTTTGTGTGTGTGTGTGTGTGTGTGTGTGTGTGTGTGTGTGTGTGTGTGTGTGTGTATGTGTTGCTTGTGTGTGCGTGTTTGTATGTGTGTTGTGTATTATGTGTACTCGTGTGTGCGTTGTGAATGTATGCTCCGCTTACGTGTATGTGTTTGAAGGGGTTGAGTGGTGTGTGTGTGTGTCTGTCTGTTTATCTGTCTGTCTGTGTTTCTGTCTGTTAGAGAGAAATAGAACCTTTGCCCCGCGCCATACAATGTAGATACTCAACTTGATCTATACCATCAACTCTACACTGTCTACCTCTGTCCTTTCTCTCTCCCCCCTCTCACCCACTCTCCTTCCTTCCATCTCTCCCTTCTCCTCTATCCTCTACTCTTCTCCTACCCCCCTCCACATCTTTCACCCACTCTCTCTGCTTTTTCACCATCCCCTGTTCTATTTACACCTAGCATCTAAGGCCAATTCTCTTATTTCCTCTTCCTCTTTCTCGCTTTCTTTGCCTCCTCCCTCTCTTTATTTCCCTGTTTTCATAGGTACACACACACACACACACACACACACACACACACACACACACACACACACACACACACACACACACACACACACACACACACACACACACACACACACACACACACACACACACACACACACACACACACACACACACACACACACACACATCTTGTATATCAACACAACTCATCACATAAGCAAGGCTATTATTTCCATATTTCTCTCTGAAGAGCGCTTAAACTAGAGCTGATGTTTACAAACTTAAATGAGAATATATATTATTACTGTACCAAAATATTCCAAACATTTTTAAGAACTGCAAACAACCTTTAATTGAAAAAAAAATTAAGATATAAATTAACCTTGTGGGCAGAATATGCTCAAGTAACGTAGAATCGACGTAGAATCGACGTAGAATCGACGTTACATGTGAGCCTTAATAATTACCCATACATATATCACTAATTTATATAAATGAGTCTTTTATTTCAATGATTCATAATTGCTTGTATATATATTTTATCTATATGAAACAAAGCTTGAATGACCTCCAAGCTGTAAATCATTATAAACTCTATCAACCTGACAGGATTCGAATCTACGAGGCCAGGGTACCCGATACCTGCAAGAATCGATACCACTCCACCATCGACGGTGGAGTGGTTCTGTGGTAGCCAGTGGGGTGATTTCAGGTTCGCATCCCCTCGGGGTCATAAATTTAATAATAATAATCTTTATATTTATATCTTTTTTTTAGTCTGTTTAATGGATGTATTGGAAACTGGGTCAAATATTTAAGAAGCTCCTCCTGCAGGAAATACAGACCTTATTGCACGTGGTTAAAAAGTTGTTTCTTCTTTGCTCTCGTGAAGCTATTGACAAAATGACTATCTTTACAGGGGGCTTCGTAGCCAGGTGGATAGCGCGCAGGACTCGTAATTCTGTGGCGCGGGTTCGATTCCCGCACGAGGCAGAAACAAATGGGCAAAAGTTTCTTTCACCCTGAACGCCCCTGTTACCTAGCAGTAAATAGGTACCTGAGAGTTAGTCAGCTGTCACGGGCTGCTTCCTGGGGGTGGAGGCCTGGTCGAGGACCGGGCCGCGGGGACACTAAAGCCCCGAAAGCATCTCAAGATAACCTCTCAAGATAACCATCTAGTTAGGTCAGACGTTCAGAGAGAAGAATCGTAACCTTTGGGAGGCCACAATAGTTAGGAGGATCCTCAAGTTGGGACTTATTTCTTGCTTTAGGAAATCTCTCTGCCTAAGATAGGACTCTGATTGACAAAGACAATACTCTGTGTTGCTAAGTGGGACATGGGGTATAGACATGGGGCAGGTTGAAGAGGGGAAGCATGGGCACTCGGGCATGGGGTATGCATAAAAAGTGATGAAAAGCTGCCACCACAACCTATAGGAAAGCTCCATTATGTGTGGTGATTGCCAGTGAAGGTAGTTTTTCTAAACACAATGTACAGCTCCTAACGTGGATTATAAATCATATACAAAAAAACGAAAATACAGATTCGTGGACCTCTGTCACTTACAAATTATTAAAAAAACAAATTGATGTCTGTTTTTTTGTTATAGAAATTTATGTAAGAACATATTATTATTTGAATTAAAGATCAATATCCAAGAACTATTCCTCCATACCTGCAACCAAAACCAGTAAGTAAGCCAAAACACACACACACACACACACACACACACACACACACACACACACACACACACACACACACACACACACACAGGCTCCCTGGCCTGTACAAAATACAATTATATAACAATAAACCAATTTTTTTAATATTTAACTAATACTTCAGGCATCCTGACCAGCAGGCCTAGGAGGCCTGGTCGAGGACCGGGCCGCGGGGACGCTAAGCCCCGAAATCATCTCAAGATAACACCTCAAGAAGGAGCCCTAACAGAGTACACAATCAGGATTTTTTCTTAACCTTTTCTTAACTTTTCTTCAACAATTATAGCCCAAATGCATAAATCTCTAATAAGCAACGCTGAGTACAGACTGGGGCAGGTAGATGGATGACCGTGAAGGGTAGATATGGTAGATAAAAGTAGATAAAATGGAGAAGTAGGTTGGTGGTAAGATGGAGACATTGGTTGTGGCTAGTAGTATTTGGGGAATGGAAAGTATAGTAGATGGACCTATAGAGAGTAAGGCAAATGTATTTATAGAAAGTATAACACACTAACCAATAGAAAGTATGGCAGACGAGCCTATAGAACCTATAGAAAGTATTGCAGAGAGATCTATAGAAAGAATAGCTGAAGGCTGAATATAGACAAACGATGAGGAAGTCAAATGGATATAAACTAAGATTGATAAACTGAGCTAGAGATTGATATCTATATCCAGACAGACATACATAAAGACATACTGAAAGAGAAATAGATAAACAAAAAAAACGAGTAATATGTACACATACATATATACAATTTGGCAGTGGGTTGATAGAAGGCAAAAGCAGAGTTGATGGATTGACAAAGCTCAGTCCATCAACTATCCCAAGATCAGTCGACAAACTATCCTAACTATCTACTTACAGTCTTCTAAGATCTGCTGGCAGACTGATCCAAGCTTAGATGATCCAAGATCCAAGAGCCAAAAAATAAAAAATAAGGAAATAATTAAGGACTAATTCTGGAATAAGGAATAATTCGAGAATAAGGAATTATTTGATAACAGGGAATAATTTGGGAATTAAGAATAATTAATGAATAAAGAATGATTAGGGAATTAGGAATAATTAATGAATAAGGAATAATCAGAGAATATGGAATAATTAGAAGGGAAACAATTGATTTGAAATAATTTACAGAAAAATGGTGGTTGCCGATTGTGGTTATGATTGATGATGGTCATGGTTGATGGAGATAGTAGTGATTGGTGGTGATTGATGGTGGTGGTTGATGGTAATGATGGTCATTGATGATAGTGGTGGTTGATGATTATAATGGTGGTTGATGGTGGAGGTTGATAAAGCTGGAGGAGGAGGTAGAAGGTGGTGGTTGATCCAGGTAGTTGATGGTAGTTAAGGGGGTAATAATGGTGATTGATGGTGATGGAAACGTTTGGTGGTGGAAAAGGTGGTTGATGAAGGTCATCGATTAGGATGGTAGTGGAGGATAGCAGACGATGGATGTAGACTTCTGAGGATAGCAGACGATAGGTGTAGACTTGTGAGGATAGCAGACGATAGGTGTAGACTTGTGAGGATAGCAGACGACGTATGAAGACTTTTGAGGATAGCAGGCGATGTATGAAAACTTAAGAGGATAGCAGACGATGGATGTAGAGTTCAAGATATCGTAACAGAGACTAGCCCAAACCCACTCCCCCCCCCCCTCCCCTCTTTTAAGAAACAACCCCACATTCACCTCAAGACAATACATTCCCATCCTTCATAGGAGAGGATAAAATCCCATGCCGTATAACCCTGTATAGTGAAGCGATGACATCACAGAACACACATACACAGGCCAAAACTCAACAATATAGAAGCTCTCACCATTCAATATTCTCCTACGTATCTTCCTAATATATATTTACAATATATATATATATATATATATATATATATATATATATATATATATATATATATATATATATATATATATATATATATATATATATAATTATTGTGTAACATTTTACATTGATTATATACACACTTCTTTGCATAAAAGAAGTGTAACATAGTTAACATTGAAAATTAATTAAGCATCATCATCAAGTCTAAAATGTTGACGCTCTTTCGCGAGCTACCAAATACAGCCGATGTAAACAAAGTCACGTGACTGCCTGGCAACCCATCAGGATTGCCAACACAACTGACACGGTCGAGGTTGGCAGCACCGTTGATCCAGCGCTTCGTACTGAAAAGAGAAATTAAACCAAAAAAAATTAATATATATATGTGACAGCATTTATGTGGGACGAAAATATCAGATTAATAGAGACGAGAAAAATGATAAAATCATGAATATTATGTTTTTGTTTTTTTGGGTTTGTTCTTGTCAAGTACATTTTGTTGTAGATCAGATGACAGCTTCAACACCAGCACAAAAGTGACTGTCCAAGATTTCAGCCCTACAGCACTGATATTGTTGACCAGACCACACGCTAGAAGGTGAAGGGACGACGACGTTTCGGTCCGTCCTGGACCAATCTCAAGTCGGTTGTGAAATGGTCCTGGAATGGTCCAGGACGGACCGAAACGTCGTCGTCCCTTCACCTTCTAGTGTGTGGTCTGGTCAACATACTTTAGCCACGTTATTGTGACTCATCGCCTGCAACACTGATATTACAGCAACAAAACAACAGTGACAGCCGCAACAGTGCAACATTGCAACAGTGACACCCCAACAGTGCAACAGTGACAGCCCCAACAGTGCAACATTACAACACTGGCACAACAACAGCAACACAACAGGAAAAGCAGAAAGTTCCAAAAGTCAAAAATCAAAATCAATTCTGTAATTTAATGAACTCGACTAACGTGAGGGGAATACATGGAGTTAAACTACTGTTTTAGGGCATTAAGTCCTGTTGTCACTTATGGACTCTGAAAAACTATATTAATTTTCATTAACGAAGAATTATATTAACTCTCATTAGGAGTGACATTTTAAGCGCAATTTTGTAAATATTTTTTTAGATAAATGTAACGGATTTTAGTGAAAAATCGCCCAAGAACGATGTATAAAGTGGTACAAAAACGAAGTTATTCGAAAACGTATAACTATGAGGTGGGAAATTAAATTAAAAATTACTTTAGGGGTTTCGCGTTAATACATCATCAAAAGTATATAAAAAAAAATAAATATGTAAGCAGGAAAGAGGGAGGTGACAAGTGGGTTGAAAAAACTAAGTCTTTATAATACATTCGTTCATGAAGATAAGAAAATGAGGAAACAACAGACGGCCTAATGATCAATACATGTCAGTTCATGGAATTAATGTTCTACTGGGGATAGGTGTTTATTGATCATCTCGCTAAGATCATTTCTCAATTGATCCGTCTAAAATTAATATGAAAGTGTGCAAACCTTTACTAACTTTCACGTTATATGGCTTATGTAATTTTAATTAAAACAGATTCAATAATCTTTCTATGATATATTCAATTGTAAAATTCATTTTTAATAGAAATATTATTGAATCTGTTTAATACAAATTACAAAAACCATTAAATATAAATATTAGTAATGGTTTATACACATTGAATCCATTACTAATGATTACATTAAAAAGCGATCTTAGTAAAATGATTAATAGACAACTATATTCCCGATAGGGACATTACTTCTTGTAACTACTTCCTGTAATGGTCATTAGTCCGTCTGCAGTTTCCTCTTTTTTCTAATCTTCACCAACCAATAATATACAGATATCAGTTTTAACCTCATATGTGACTGTTTCTTTTCCTGTTTAAACATTCAAGTATTGTATTGCATTGTTAATACTTTTGATGCTGTATTGATCAGCACAAAAGTTCTCCTTTTCATTGAAATCGTTAAATTTTATTTTAAATTATACGCTTTCATATAATTTATCGTTTATTACCATTAATGTATATTTGTATTCAAATATTTCAGTTGAGAATATACTTCGCCAGAATAATATTTAGAACTGAGGCATACTTGCTGGTTGACCAGTAATTAAAGCCAATGAAGGCTTCATAACCGGTTGATAGGTCTTAAGCCTCACGCCAAGCCATCTGGCTCCTCTCTCTCGCTCCACACATAGATATATATATATAATATATATTATTAATATATATATATATATATATATATATATATATATATATATATATATATATATTATTAAATATGACCGAAAAAGTAAGACTAATAATTCTAAGACAAATTTTCTCAATATTTCTTATATTTCTTTTCACTGTTGATGGTAATTGAAAAATGTGGCATTACATCAATTCTTCAAAGCCTAAATTCATTTTTATTTCTAGTCTAATTTAGCCCATATATAATATATATATAATCTTGCAACATATAATACACAGTTGCTCATCTCTCATTCCAGAGGACAACTACTGTGCTAAGTAATTGGTCGTCTTTATAATTCGCTTCATAAAGTACGAGTCGCCTTCCTGGCAAGTGTTGCAATAACGAACCAGCTCGTTAAAGTGAGACTGTGCTCTTGAGAGTGTGATGAATATAATTAGTGTCTGCTTACAGGGATTTTGTATATTCTAAGGGCCTTGTTAATCTCCCCCACTCTATATAAAGTTTAGGTGTATAATGGGAATTTTAAGTTGTGACAGTCATCTTGAGGTTATCTTGAGATGATTTCGGGGCTTTAGTGTCCCCGCGGCCCGGTCCTCGACCAGGCCTCCACCCCCAGAAAGCAGCCCGTGACAGCTGACTAACACTCAGGTACCTATTTTACTGCTAGGTAACAGGGACATAGGGTGAAAGAAACTCTGCCCATTGTTTCTCGCCGGCGCCTGGGATCGAACCCAGGACCACAGGATCACAACTCCAGCGTGCTGTCCGCTCGGCCGACCGGCTCCCCATGGTGTTATGGTGTTTGTCTGGGTGTATCAGAGTGTTCCTCCACTTGGCCTGGGTGGTAGAGCGACAGATGGCTGGCTACATGCAGGTCGGCGTTCGAGCCCCTATAATCCCCAGTCTCTATAGCCTGTGAATATCCTACTAATTACCATCTGATATTCATTATCTTATAATTATCTTACTCTATTCCCCCCTAATTATTTCTTGATAATCGACCTCACCTTACGTAAAACCTATTAATTATCGTTTTGTTCTTAATATTCATAATATATACTCCAGCAAATAGTTTATCATTTAGACATATTACAATTTAGCCCTCCCAAAATTTATTTTATTACCTCATAATTAATATAATGCTCTCCCAAACTATTTAGTAATTATTAAGCATTGGAGTTTATTTACTATGTGGCGCGCTTAATACCCATTAAGTGATTAAACTCACACGTATGTAATATTTATGTTCCGTCAATTCAATTATCGGATAATACAACATTTAACGCATCTAGTGTTAGCATACTGTCTTAGGATGTGAGAAGTATATTCAGGCATAGTTTCTCATTGTATACTCAGCATAGTTTCTCAAAGTATATTCAGGCATAGTTTCTCATTGTATACTCAGCATAGTTTCTCAAAGTATATTCAGGCATAGTTTCTCATTGTATACTCAGCATAGTTTCTCATAGTCTACTCGGGCATAGTTTCTCATAGTCTACTCAGGTATAGTTTTTCAAAGTATACTCAGGCATAATTTCTCAAAGTCTACTCAGCATAGTTTCTCAAAGTCTACTCAGCATAGTTTCTCATAGTCTACTCAGGCATAGTTTCTCATAATATACTCAGCACAGTTTTTCAAAGTATATTCAGCATAGTATCTCAAAGTATAGGCAGTATAGTTTCTCGTAGTATATTCTTCATAGAGAAGTGATCTAGAACAGCATGGTATACTTACGTATATACTTCATAGAAAAGTGGTCTAGATCAACATATACCTAAGTATGTTCTTCATTTAGAAGTTCTCTAGCTCAACAAAGTATAACTAAGTATACTTAACAAAAAAAACTGTTTTTTTCCTAACCGTATACAGGATTAGATTAGTGGATTAGATGAGTGGATTAGCGAATCTTCTCGCTTATGGTTTATACAGCTTAGCGAGGAAGTATAACGATAACGGGTATAGCTGCTATCATCACCAATCACACCCTCTCACTGCTATCATCATCATCCATATCACTAGAATAACATTTAGAATTTCAAGAACATTTCAAGAACATCTCAAGAACACTGTTCGATCTACGGACAGGACATCGATGCTTGTCCTCAATGACAGAACCACCTTATGCAGTTCGATAGTGACAGCTAAAGCTGCCAAACCTCGAACCCCAGGGTCGTTTGAGCAACCCGAAGCGCCACGTTCGGTACAAGGGGATCTATATTCATCGTATTGTGGCGATTATTAAGGTCAAACTCCTTGTTAAAGTGTTCTGATAATATGTCAACTTCACCTCTAGGCAGTTATGTCGATGGCACTTTGTTGCCATCCAATTTATCTTGGGAGTTTAAGACGAGAACTCATCGCATTTCTTTAAATTTATCATCATTAAATTCTGGTATGGAGCTTTGCATTCTTAGCTGGTGCCAGGCGTTGTCGTTTGTTATCTCTCTCTCTCTCTCTCTCTCTCTCTCTCTCTCTCTCTCTCCTCTCTCTCTCTCTCTCTCTCTCTTCTCTCTCTCTCTCTCTCTCTCTCTCTCTCTCTCTCTCTCTCCTCTCTCTCTCTCTCTGAACTTTTATAAGTTTGTGAAACACATAAAATTAACCTA